GGCATCAGGTACTTCCAATTGTGGAAGTGAATGAGTGGGAACTAAAATAAGGAGAACTGTTCCAAAATTCCATAAGAAGCAGAAGCTGATCCCCTCTTCCACTTGGCCTCATCCCCACCCCGGCAGAGGGCTGGAAGTTTGCTTTTGCCTTGAACAGAGGGTCTCTGTGTCACCATGCATTCTAAGGCAGAGTACTGGAAACGGATATTAAAGGGATGAATTTTTACTGAAGGATGACATCCCCTTAGCTCTCTTCTTTTTTCATCAGCTCCTGGAACATTGGCAGCCATGACTTTATCCTGTAGGCAGGAGACTGGATGGATCTTCCCTGGGGAATGTGACCAGCACAAGAGAAAAGTCCTAAAGAGATGAATATAAGGGGCTCCTCAATACAGTAGCCAAGCCATGGGGAATTCCCTGGCGGTCCAGTGGTTAGGACTTCGCACTTCTACTGCAGAGGGCATGGGTTCGATCCCTGGTCGGGAAACTAACATCCTGCCTGCCGGACGGCAGGGCCAAAAAAAAAAAAAAAGCAGCCAAACCACATTTTCTTGTAGCGAGTCCCACTCACCCATTTAAAACTTCCTACAGCTTTCCCCTAGTCTTACATATAGCAGACAATCAAGGGTTACAAAACAGTGGAGGAAGACTTTGAGAGGAAAAAGAAAGACTGAAATGAAAGAACTGAACAAAAACAAGTTGGAAGCAGTAGACCATGCAAAGAGCTGAAAATGTAAACAAACACATACCACTATCAATATTCTCAGAGATGGATACAACGTCAAAAGCATAGGCAAGGAACGCAAAAATATGTAAGTGGGGCTATATCAAACTTTGCTGTGTGGCAAAGGCAACAATCGAACAGAGAGAAAAGACAGCCTATGGAATGGGAGAAAAAATTTTGCAAACCATACATCTGATAAGGGGTTGTTATCCTTATTTATAAGGAACTCCTACAACTCAATAGTAAAAAAACAAAACAAAACAAATAACCCATTTAAAAAATGGGCAAAGGATCTGAATAGACATTTCTCCAAAAAAGGCAAACCAATACGTGGCCTATACGTATTTGAAAGGATGCTCAAAATCACTAATCGTACGGGAAGTGCAAATCAAAACTACAGTGAGATGCAGTGTTCCACAATAAGAATCAGAATGAATGAAAGGTCCACCTTCTTTTGTTTGTTTGTAAAGCAAAAGAGTGACTGTGAAAGTGAGAATGGAGGGGAGAAGCAGCTGGACGCCTCACCTGCAGATGTTCTTGAGGCAGATGGTTCACAGGAGAAAAATACATGTGGATGTTGTGGACCTGGAAACCGACTCTTTTAAAACTACCAGTGTGGGGTCTTCCCTGGGGGCGCAGTGGTTAAGAATCCGCCTGCCAGTGCAGGGGACACGGGTTCGAGCCCTGGTCCGGGAAGATCCCACATGCAATGGAGTAACTAAGCCCGTGTGCCACAACTACTGAGCCTGCGCTCTAGAGCCCACGAGCCACAACTACTGAGCCTGCGTGCCACAACTACTGAAGCCCACGTGCCTATAGCCCGTGCTCCGCAACAAGAGAAGCCACTGCGGTGAGAAGCCCGCGCACCACAGCGAAGAGTAGCCCCCGCTCGCCGCAACTAGAGAAAGCCCACGTGCAGCAACAAAGACCCAATGCAGCCAAAATTAAAAATAAATAAAATAAATACATTTATTTAAAAAATAAAAAATAAAACTACCATTGTGCATGGTACACCTTCATGCACATCCAAGGTTGCATGAATTTCAATCTGAAGTACTGCTGGCAGGGGGGAAGTTCCTAATTTTGAAAAATAATAATAAAGGCTTTCAGATCCTAGAAATGTAGAAGAGGACTGGAGACTGCAGAGAGCCAGGGGAGATGCAGCTGAGAGTCGGCTGTTTCAAAGCCAACTCAATGCTTGTGGGCCCTACTGAGAATGTTGGTCTCCGTTCTAAGATCAGTGGGAATTCCTTGAAGTAAATATAGGTAGAACAAGGTCAGATTTACATTTTGAAACATTATGGAAAATGAATTTGCTTTAGAAATGTAGATGCAGGGAGAATAAGATATGTTTCCATCGTTCCAGGCAGAGTAGTACAAGTGGTAACAGAGAAAAGCAGACAGATTTAATGGATACTAGAAGATAAAAGTTGATAGAAGTTAGTGATTTGGGGATGGGGGGAAGATGGAGATAAAGGTATCCAAGAATGACTTCTAGGTTTCTAGTTTGCAGATCTAGAATTTTTTTTCATTATTTTCTCAATAAAAAGGTTTTTCTGAAAAAAAAAATGATATAATGGGAAATTTTAAAATAAACCTTTTAAAAGAGGGAACATAAATCTTCAAAAGTAGACAGTTTAGGGTTTTGTTTTTTTTAGGGGATCTGGAATTTAAAATCATGTTTACAATGTGAACATAGGTAAGATAGCAAAAGGATTTTTTTAAAAGAAGACGACTAATATTTAATAACCTGTAAAATGTGTTTTTAAAAAATGAGATGTTGCACCCCCAGTATCTTGCCTCTGAAATATAACATTGGCCATTTCTCCAAAGTCACCAAAGCCAATACATTTCCATTGCAATCCTCAAAGCAAAACCATTTCTCCTGTGGACAATAGGGCTCCTATCTTAAAAAGTCAGCTCTGAACACCACAGAGAAAGTAATTGAATTCAACACCAGTGTTATTTTTTGCCCTGTGCATCTCCTACCATATGAAAACTGAAAGTAATACTGTATCATCAAATTCTCCACTTTCTCACATAGTTCATCTGGTCAAAGAGAATCAAATACCACATCGCTGAAGCACCATCAATTCTCCTGTGGTTATTTTACAAATAAATTTCTTTTTCTCTACTTTTATATAGTACATAAAATTTTCATATAGTTGAAATGAACTGTGCAGAGAAAAAGGTAAATGCCAGCAGGCATCTAAATATTGTAGCATCTGTTACATTTTACACTCTGTAATCACAAATCTTATAAAGCTTCATTGCATTTGAGGCTAGATTTTTCACAAATTATTGAAGATTGATAGCTATAGTAATTGTTATTACACTTTTATTTTTATTATATTGAATTATACAAACTCTCTTCTATCTTTTTTCTTTGTTGTAATGTCTTTTTCTGAAATACAATTTCCAATGTCTGCTTTATATTTTGTTGTAAAAGTCTAAAGTTTATATGATAGAAATTAACATTTTAAAATTCAGTATCCAAAATCTATAGGGGGTGTGTGTGCATTTATTTGTGTGTGTGCATGCATACACATGTGTGTAGCATTGCTAATAAAGTCTTTGCTAAAGCACTTAGAAAAAATGGGTTGGAACAGAAATAGTAAAATGAATTACTTTGAAAGAATTTTAAAACTGAGATGGAAAGCACCACCAACTCTCTGATTTAGTTTTGCTGTTTGTCATGATACATAAGCAGGGCTACTTTTAAATACTTGAAGGTTTCAAACTTCTGATAATATGCATATATCCATTCTGTGTCACCTGCCCTCTTAAGGCCTGCATTCAGTACAAGGAGCAAACCTCAGGTGCCACATAAAGGCTTAGGCCGCCTTTCCAGACTGATTTCATTTTTCCTTTCTTTTAAGTGGTAGACCCTAAGTGAATATCATCTTTTCCCCTCTTTTAATCAACTTGTCAGATTTCATCTCATTTACCTACTTTCAGGGCTAAGTTATTAAGCACTTACCATGTGCTTGGTACTATGTTAAGTGCTGTTATGGAAATAAACCCTTGTAAAACCCCATCTTCACAAAAGAACCACATCTGGTAGGTAAAATCATCTGCAGTTTATAGACAAGGAAACGAAGGTGCAAAGAGAGTCAAGAATTTTGCCCAACACTATTTAATCAAGTCTCCAACATTATTCTACCACAAGGCCACTGTGTATGGTGAGCCATGGTGTATACTGCACAACTCCAGGAATGCCATTCACAGAGCCTATTATATGAATGGTACCCCTTGGAGCTATCCAGTGCCACAGCCCTGTATCTAGCTCAAAAGTCTAATCTCTCTTTACTGCGCTGTATTTCCATCTCACTAACTCATTCATATTAAAATAACAAGATTAAACAGGAGTTGGGGAAAGAAAAGACAGTGAGAGTTGAGTTTTGCACTGCACTTCTTGAAAACACCACTAATATTTCTACAGAATTATTTTAAGTAATTTGATCCTTAGAGCAACAACTCTTTCATATTTCCATTCTTACAGAAAAAGTAATTTATGATCATTTGTAAATAACCTAAGTACAAGCTAAACTATCATTATGGGCTGCCTTTGTAAACATTATACTGTGTAATTTTTTATTATCACTGCATGAACTAACTAGGGAGCCTGAAATGATCTTTTGACACTCAGAATTAATCATATGTTGATGTGCAGGTTGACACTCATTTGAAGGGGAAGTATGTCTCTTTAGCATTTTAATCTACTTATAAACTTCTCCATTTATTCAGAATTGTACATCTCTAATTGATTACACAAATAGTGCACTTTCCAAATAAAAGACATATTAAAATAGTGAACATCTGCAGAGACATGGTTAAATGAACAAAGACAATTCAAAGGCATTTCCTGTCCTAATTTCTTGCAAGTTGACAGACAATGCCTCAAAACTCTCTATCAGATCCAGAATGAACTAATAAGCTAATCAGAGCATAACAAGTCTTTGCCAATTGTCTTCATAAGAGAACTATAAGTACGTTTAAGCAGCACTCAGGGGTATTTCTTGTTAAACACGTGAACTGCTTTGAGAAATATTGTTAAATATTGATAAATTCATGGAATATACTATTTTCACCAGTGATTAGGGCTCCGGGAACAGTGAAATGAAGAGATATATTCATTTCCCCTTGGAACTGCAAACTCTCAGACAATAAAGCCCTCACTGAGTCTGCTCAGAACTTCTTACCCTTAAGTTGTACCACTGAGATTCCCATTTACCTAGTTATTGACAGAAACTCTTTGGGGTCTTTGATCACGTACCGTGTGCTCATGCTTCTGTTAGGCTGTTGTAAGTTCTCTTCTCAGGAAAATCCTTTCCTTCAGTTCATGACTTTGTAGAATGCCAAGTTGCTAAGGTAAATCCAGAAAACTGTAAGAATAGTAAAATTTGTTAACCAAAGTCATTACCTCATGCCTAAGGGAGCACATAAACCATAAAGCTGTAAGGATTAATGACGATTGGTAAACAGAGAATTACGCTCATAAATAAATATCGATAATTAAGAAATATAAGCAGCGTTTTTCAAACTGTTCCACTTGTGACTGTGTAAGCGTTCGTTAAGTTACTTCCACCCCATTTAATATGAGGGTACTTTTTTCTTTTATGGTAATTATTAGCTATACCAACATAATGTCTAAATATTGAAAAGAAAGCCTTCTAGATCATATTAACAATAATTGATATGGTGTACGCAAAATCAGGATAAATTGTGCCTGTTTCTCTAAACAAACAAACAAAAAGTCTTCAAAAGAATTTTTAAAATCTATCAAAATATTCCCCTTTCCCTTTTCTCCTCTTCCTCTTCTGTTTCTTCTTTTTTCATTTTAAATTCAAGTTATAAACCAAAAGAAATAAAAATATTTCTACTTCTCTGTAATCATATAGAACTTGATTTCGTGGCTCTATTCTATTTTTTATTATTCAATACTCAAAATGGTATAAGGTATGAAGACATTTTGCTATTAGTAAATTATTAAATATTACAGTTTTCAAATTTTTCCTTGATGTTTATGCTTCCTTACTTGAGGGAAGAAGAAAAGAAGTAGATTGTATCACGTGAGCATATAAAAAACCCAAGACCTCTTCCTCAACATAAAAATTTTCTTTAACAGCTAGAAAAATCTCTCAGAAGTATATTCAAGCAGTCACATTCAGAGCTGTGTCCACTTCCATCCACAGGTACTTTGTTCAATGTGTCTCTTTAAATTCTCTGAAGTGATTATAATTTTATTATTTCTCAATGTTCTGTCTTTGAATCGTCACAGAGTATTTTCATCTAAACTTTTCTGAGTCCAAGTATTTAGAGAGTACATTCATTTTAAACCTATGGATATCAGTTTTCATGCTGCAAATCATCCAAAGTATGTCCAAGTTAATTCATTTTCCTGTTCCCAACGCAAGGTAGGGCAAAGGCACGCTGCCCATCTCTGTGAAGAAACCTGGCTAAGAGCCAATTTACAGAGTATAGGCTGCAAACAGCTAATACTGCCTTTGTGCTTTGTCTCTTTCCAAAGGATAGAAGAATCTAAAAAAATAACCCACCCTGGAGGCAAGACACACTTTACAGAAGAAAGATATATCTCAGTAATGATAAAAAAAAATCACATCAAAAACCTGCAACTTTGTTCTATCTGGTAAAACAACCTCATATTCTTTTCCACAAGCCAGAGGTCGCATTGCTACAAACTCAGGAAGGGTATTTTTAACGGATGTGATAAACCTTCTCCTCACTATTTACACTTCTCTCCCTTATCCCAAGAGACACCTAGGGAAGGTTTACTTAACCTACACATATACATAAATAAATACGTCCATGTATTTTGCAGAGAGAACAAGGCAATTTGTATGTACATGAAATGTAGACATCAAATCCAGCATGCCCCAAACTAACGTACATTAAAATAACTCATCACATCCCCATCACTGCATCAGCCTCCCATCCTGAACCTTCTCTGGCAAAAGTATCACTGTGTTATCAACCAGACAGTGAGTTAAATGGGGAGCAGGTAACATATTTATTCACCATTCTAATCCCAGCCCTTAGCACAGTGCCCATTGCTCAACATGTAGATGATCTTCAACAAAATACTGAATGGCAGACCCATTTTCTCAATACCTGGAAACATGTGTGACTCATGGTTTGGTGGCAAGACTATTGGCCTTAGTGCCTAAAGGTTTGGTCTCTATTCAAAGTTTGTCACTATGTAGATGTGTGACCTTGGGCAAATCACTTATTCTCAACGGGCCTACAAATTGGGAGGTGGGAGGGTGGGAGAGGAATGGGCAACTAGATAGTTTATTGGGAGAAATAATTCTTTAAAATGTGAACTCTGGGCTTCCCTGGTGGCACAGTGGTTAAGAATCCACCTGCCAATGCAGGGGACAGGGGTTTGAGCCGTGGTCTGGGAAGATCCCACATGCCGCGGAGCAATTAAGACTGTGTGCCACAACTACTGAGCCCGCGTGCCACAACTACTGAAGCCCGCGTGCCTAGAGCCTGTGCTCCAAAACGAGAGAAGCCACTGCAATGAGAAGCCCAGGCATCACAACAAAGAGTAGTCCCCGCTTGCCACAACTAGAGAAAACCCATGCACAGCAACAAAGATGCAACGCAGCCAAAAATAAAATTAATTAATTTAGAAAATGTGAAATCTAAGATTTATTCTCTTCCTAAACTCCCTATATCTAGACAATAAAGTTTATATAATTTACCTTCAAGATGTTCTTCGGGTCCATACTTTCTTCCCTGTTCCCACTGCCACTCCCCTTAGAGCTGGCTTTCACCATCTAAGTTTTGCGGGCCTCTCACTGTTTTGGCCTCCCCCATTACGGAGCACAGGCTCCGGACACGCAGGCTCAGCGGCCATGGCTCACGGGCCCAGCCGCTCCGCAGCATGTGGGATCTTCCCGGACCAGGGCACGAACCCGTGTCCCCTGCATCGGCAGGCGGACTCTCAACCACTGCGCCACCAGGGAAGCCCATCACCATCTAAGTTTTGAATTAATAAACTGCAGTAGGAAGAGGGGTAAATTGGGAGTCTGGGATTAACATATACACACTACTATGTATAAAATAGATAACCAACAAGGACCTAATGTATAGCACAGCGACTATATTCAATATCTGGTAATAGCCTATAAGGGAAAAGAATCAGAAAAAGAACAGATATATATATATATAACTAAATCACATTGCTGTACACCTGAAACACAGCTTTATAATCAACTATACTTCAATTTTTTTAAAATGTGAAAAAAAATTTTAAAAATAAAACCACAGTACCTGTTCTTAACTTCACTTTCTTGACCCTCTTTTCCTTTCTCCACAGTGCAGCAGGACAGTCTTCCTTAGCCCTTATGCACAATGGTTTTCCAACACTAGTGTGCACAAGAACTCGGCAGCTTGTTACAGAAAAACTCCCAAGACACACCTTCACACACTGCTGCGGCATGCCCTAGGACCTCCATTCGGCACCAGGTGGTCTGTAGGCCACATACTGACACACTGCCTCACTGCAGTGATTTCCAAACTCTTCATTTTACAACCGGAGAGGTAAAATATGCTTAAGGAGACACCTTCAAAAATATGAATATTTATAATTGAAACATGTCTATATACATATAGATATATTTCACTTTATTATTTTATTATTGAATCATAACTGATTGATCTTTCGTCCTCTTTGGTGCAAGGCCATCACAGAATTCAGGACCCACAACCCATAATCTAGAAGTTCACTTAAAAACTTCAAGTCACAACAGGGAGGCTGTCCTTAAACTGCCTGTGTATGGAGTGTTCACCACTTCGGCTCCTCTGTGCTCCGGGGGAATATTGTTCACACCTTTATCCAGGTGCGGTAAGGTAGTGTTTGTAAATAGTAACCCTTCTCAAAAACAACTTTGTAGTTCTATATTCTTCCTGTTCCTTTTCTCTTTATTCAAGCAGATGTTGGTCTCTGTGCTCACAGCCTCAGCAGAGGAGTGTAATGGGGGGAAAACAGTGTAGCGGCGGGGGGCAGGGAGCAGTCTTATGGAATTTTCTTTTCAAAGCCCCTGGGGTGGGAGAATCTGGTGCACAACAAATTGTCAGCCAGTGGGAAAGAATAGGGTTTAGTTCTGCCCATAACACTCAGGGAGCCCAGGACAGAGTGGAAATGGAAGCCTCCATACCATACGTAGAAATATACAAACATTATAACTAAAGCTATCAAACTGTTCAACAAACATTTTATTGTCCTGCTTTGAAAATTTACTTAACAATGACAACTGTGTGTAAAGACATCTTTTTTTTTTTTTTTTTTTTTTGCCACACTGCACAGTATGAGAGTTCCCCAACCAGGGGTCGAACCTGTATCCCCTGCATTGGAAGCACGCAGTCTTAACCACTGGACCACCAGGGAACTCCCTAAAGTTATCATTTTTAAGTGACTGAATATTTGCAAAATATCAAAAACAATTGCATAGTTTTTCTGCACATCTGGTTGTTCTATTCATGTACCACTGATATTTGGATTAATAATAAAATACGGGTTCACATAACTTATAAACTACTACATATTTTTTTCATAAAATTTATTTTACTTGCCTTTAGTTTAGTAAAATCATTAATTATTTTAATCAAGACTTTTCACAAACACTCTGTTCTGTTGACAGTAATTTAAAAGTGAAATGTAATTGTATTCAGTCTATAAAATTTAAATATATTTTCATAAAAATGTAAATGTAAGTAACTGTGGAAAATGAAAAAATAAATTATTTTTATTAAAAAAATGGCCAAAAGACCTGAATAGTCACCTCATCAAAGAAGATATACAGATGGCAAGAAAGCATATGAACAGTTGTTCATCAGCACATGTCATTAGGGAATTGAAAATTGGAGGGGGTGAAATTTTTTTATTGAAGTGTAGTTGATTTACACTGTCATGTTAGTTTCTGTTGTACAGCAAAGTGATTCAGTTATATATATATATATTCTTTTTCATATTCTTTTCCATTATGGTTTATCACAGGATACTGAATATAGTTCCCTGTGCTATACAGTAGGACCTTGTTGTGTATCCATTCTATATATAATAGTTTGCATCTGCTAATCCCAAACTCTCAATCCAACCCTTCCCCACCCCCTCCCACTGGGCACCACAAGTCTGTTCTCTGTGTCTGTGAGTCTGTTTGTTTCATAGATATGTTCATTTATGTCACATTTTAGATTCCACATATAAGTGATATCATATGGTATTTGTCTTTCTCTTTCTGACTTACTTCACTTAGTATGATAATCTCTAGGTCCATACATGTAACTGCAAATGGCATTATTTCATTCTTTTTAGGCTGAGTAATATTCCATTGCTTATATATACTACATCTTCTTT